ACACACACACACACACACACAGACACACACACACACACACTTCAACATTACTGTACAGACACGTCCACACATGTCCAGGTCAGATTTGACCCAAAAACTAAAGAAAGAAATAAGAAAATATAATATACTATATGTGACCCTGGAGCACAAAACCAGTCTTAAGTGTGTTCCATTGATGTATGGTTTGTTATGATAGGACAATATTTGGCCGAGATACAACTATTTGAAAATCTGGAATCTGAGGGTGCAAAAAATCTAAATATTGAGAAAATCATCTTTAAAGTTGTTCAAATGAAGTTCTTAGCAATGCATATTACTAATCAAAAATTAAGTTTTGATATATTTACGGTAGGAAATTTACAAAATATCTTCAAGGAACACGATCTTTACTTAATATCCTAATGATTTTTGGCATAAAAGAAAAATTTATAATTTTGACCCATACAATGTATTGTTGGCTATTGCTACAAATATACCCCAGCGACTTAACACTGCTTTTGTGCTGCAGGGTCACATATGTAATGTATTGCACTAAGAAATTAAAGCCTCTTTATTTATTTTTTTTTTTAAATTTTTTTTTACTTATTTACTTTTTTCGAACTTTAACATTATTTTGACAATAAAGCATGTGTCCATTCATGCACAAAAATAGAATGCAAGAAATTGTCAAAAAAAAAATGTCTTTTCTGATTTAATAAAAAAAAAAAAAAAAAAATTATCAGTGTTTCTTCTTGCCTGTTCTTTTATGACATTGATGCAAGTTTTTTTATATTGTAAATGCGCTATAAAAAGTGTTAATACACTAATACAGTATTATTTGTTGTACAGCTTATAATTTATGCTGGTTTAATATAAACAAATTTTTGGCATAAAAGAAAAATTTATAATTTTGACCCATACAATGTATTGTTGGCTGTTGCTACAAATATACCCCAGCGACTTAACACTGCTTTTGTGCTCCAGGGTCACATATGTAATGTATTGCACTAAGAAATTAAAGCCTCTTTATTTATTTATTTCTTTTTATTTTTTTTTACTTATTTACTTTTTTCGAACTTTAACATTATTTTGACAATAAAGCATGTGTCCATTCATGCACAAAAATAGAATGCAAGAAATTGTCAAAAAAAAATGTATTTTCTGATTTAATTAAAAAAAAAAAAAAAAAATTATCAGTGTTTCTTCTTGCCTGTTCTTTTATGACATTGATGCAAGTTTTTTTATATTGTAAATGCGCTATAAAAAGTGTTAATACACTAATACAGTATTATTTGTTGTACAGCTTATAATTTATGCTGGTTTAATATAAACAAATAAATTATCAGTGCAAACAAGAGGCCTGTGATGTGTATATAATAATAATAATAATGATTATTATTATTATTATTAAGTTTTTCTATGATTGTTCTGTCGTTGCTGTTTTTTTTTCCCCTTTCTGTTCTCCTTTTGTGGCTAAATTGTGACCTGTACATATTTTCTGCGAGATTCACCAGTAAGATGTAGTTGTAAACAGTAAATCTTAATGCGTTTCTTCTGACCTGATGCTGTAGGACATTGAAGCCGATCACTACAAACTCCTAAAGAAATTAAGAAAACCTCTTCCAGTGGATAAAATGTCAAGCGATCTTGTCTACAAGCCTCCCACAGCGGTCCGAATGCCGTCGCTGGACCGCGGAGCCGGAGACGGTGAGGAAACCCCCTCAAAGTCTTGCGTTTAACACACTTTAGCATGTTTAAATCCAATTTACAGAGCAGAGAAACTGTATGAAGTCTGCAGATTCCATGTAGTAGTTAATATTTTTAACTTAATTGTGTTGTTCGTTCAGGTAAACCAGCTCAGCCAGAAATCCAGTCCACTGGTTTCTGACGGTTTACACTGGACCTACTGGAGGACTTTCATCTCGCGCAAACACACGCTCTGCACTCTATGATGTAGCCCATTCCCAGCATGCCTTGCGCCCGGAAGCGCCATCCAGGCTAAATTATGTGTCGATCAGAAATTCGTGACTTGGGACGGACGACCCTTCGGCCAGCGCTGAGAAAGAAAGGAGGAAAAAGAAAGTAGTTGCGCATTCGAGAGAGAAAATTTAATGTTGTTGACGAAGAACGTAATTGCGATGCGCGAAGAACAGGAAGTGAAAAACGCAAGCGGAACGTGAACTAGCGCGGCTGAAGACATGACTCTGTCCCGCGAAGGAAACCCAGCACGTCTGTTTCTCCTCCATTCAGCTCGTCGGTAAACTCGCGAATACAAACGGGCGACGTTTCGGCCGCGCAAATCGTGAGCCGCGTCCGTTTACGGATTGACAAATTCAGGTTATTTTGCACCGTGGAAATAAACACGGTGGGCGAATAAGGATGTCTCACGAATATCGTTGTTCTTCCGTTAATATCGTAACTTGTATTTCATTGCGTAACACTATGCGGAAAAACAAAAAGGAAGGAAAACGAAAAAAGGTGAAGATTTGTGCTCAATTATCGAATGAACGTTTGTTCGGTTTCTACGCACAGTCGAACACTATCGCGCAGCTCGCAACTGGACTCCTGTTTATATAACGTACAGAAACAAAAAAGGGGCGTGTCTATGAATTCTGACATCATGTCATGTGACCTGCAAGCCGACACATTTGTATTACGTGTGAATACTGTGAACTTTTTGTCGCTCGCCGTTTGCGGTCGTTCATTCGTAGCTCGACGGGTGCTTGAAACACAAACGAAGGGATCGGGAACTCTAATAATATAAAAAACGACGCAACTATTACGTTTGAAACACAAGCGTCTTTATAAGTACTCGTGCACCTAACCTGCCAAAGGAGGATTGTTACCTCGCCTCCTTTTAAGTTTGTTTTGTTTCTTATTTTGTATTTTAGTAATTGTTTTTTGCGAGTTTGTGTGTGACTGCAGAGCGTTTCTGTCGCGGATTGAATTCGGCGGCTTGTATGGATAACTACTGTTAACTCAGGTGGAGAAATGTAGAGGGGATTTCTCTCGTTAGCTTTAACTCCTTCTTGATTTTGGTTTCTTGCCTCATTCCTCCATCTTCAGCGCTCATTCATACTCGTGCGAACTACTGTACGTAAATGTTTGTTTTTATTTTTATTGGCATTCACTCGTGTAATATAGTTGACGACGGCCTGTTTTATATGTTCATTTTCTGTGAAGCCCTAGTCGTTTTTTAATTTTATTTTTGTAGATATGACAAATGGAAAGATTTTTTAAAAGTGCGAGATTGTTAGACGCACAGAAGGAAAATGAAAACTCGTGGTAAAAAGAAAAACTAATTTGTTTTGTGAAATTAAAGATATGTTTAAAAAAAACTGGCAGTGTGTTTTTTTTAGTTTTTTTTTTTTATTGATATCTGTCAATATTGTGGTTAGCACTAATGATATATAGTGTAAATTTATTTATTTTTTTTGCATTTCATAAGCATTTTTTTATTGAAACTTGAGCACAGGAATACCGCTTTTATTGAATTTGCTTGATTTTCAAGATAGTTTTGGTGTACAGATTATATTATATTGTCACCGTATACAATGCAACAAGATTCAGTGTTTGTATCTCAAATACAAAAAAAAGCAATAAAAAATGTAATTAAGAACAAGACATCAGATTAGATAAACCACACAGTAATATTTTTATTTGCACTGCACTTTTTCACAATACACATTATTTCAAAGCAGCTTTACAGAAATGTGAGATGTTCATGTTTATAGTATCTTAAAGCGTAATTGTACACAATTAGCAGTTTTGGATGGTTTACATATGACCTTGATGTAAACAATCAAGCTATAAGATTTGCTATATTGTAAATAATTACAAAGTATAAATTATGTAAATAAAATGTGTAACTGCAAATCATTTACTGTACTGTATTTTTAGTTTTCCAAAATGTTTCAATATATAACAGACGACAGAGGCCAAATAAGAGTCTAGCTTAGTCTATATATAGGCATATATATATATATATGTACTTACATTTTACTTAAAGTATAAATTATATAAACGTAAACAAATACACAAGTACCAAAAAAATCTGACTGATCATACAAATCTCAAATGCATACATAAACCCATTATGCACACACATACACTGTTCTATACATCAAATAATCCAACAAATCTGAGTAAATATAGGTGATGAAGTAAAAGTGAGACAGATAAATAAATAATCCAAAAATGAGGTCATTCCTACATTTTTTCTAGTAATCTCAGTAAGTTAATGTGGTTCTCATGACTCGCGAGTGTTTGTGTGTGAGAGAGTGAGTGTGTTTATTGTGTGTGTGTGTGAGAGAGAGAGTGGGTGAGTGTGTGTGTGTGTGTCTCTCTGTCTGTGTGTGTGTGTGTGTGTGTGAGAGAGAGAGTGTGTGTTTATTGTGTGTGTGTGTGTGTGCGCACGTTTTTGTGACAAATGAGGACATAAATTTATATAATGACAAAGGTATGACATAGGTATTACAAATAGAAGGTGACTTTCTGTGAAGAAAAGAAAAAAAAAGAAAAACACGGACGCTAAGTAAAGCCCGCAGGCCACAGAACATTTCACATTCACTGATCCAGAGCGATTAAACTACCAGAAGAGGAGTTTACTCATCTGCAAACTGTGAGTTTACGAAGAAAAGAGGGATTTTTTCTTCTTTTTTGTATCGTGTGGATTATTGTTCTGCTGAAAAGAGATACAAAGAGGCGAGTGAAAGTGTGCTGCTTGTATCATTTGCGGGATGCAGAGGGTATCATTATACTTCCGTTTTAAAACATTAATATCTCATTTGGATGGGTTTCTACTAGGACGCTGTTATATTCAGTCTGGTGCCGCATGATAGGTTTAAAGTTAAACAGTTGGCTGTGAATCTATCGTGGACTTTGCATTGAAATGCACGAGAAAGGAACCTCAAGGATCCGCTTTCATTGTTTTCTGTAAACTGCGCTTGTTTGCGGGACCGGGTTTGTTTCTCAGCTTCTTTAGGACTCTTCTTTGTGTTCAGAGATCCACAAATGCAGCCGTTTGGAAGAAAAGATACGGCCGATTATAGCCCAAGACGTTTTAGGTGTTGAATCTTTTTTGAAACCACAATTAATAGTTTGAATTTGAAAAAAAGTGTTGTTGTTTTTGTTTTTTGGATGAGTCTCAGTACAGTGATATTTAGCGTAATGATTCATTTTAGTGAATCGATTCGCTTTATTTAGCGCTTCGTCGGAGTCATCGTTCGAATTCCCTCCCAGAAGTCTTGCGTTTGAAAGATTTTGCGCTTGACTTTGTACGTTTTTTGGGTTTACTTATGTTTAACTTTTTTAAACTGTGTTATTTTAATACGCGTTTATGTTTATGATCCCACCATACCACCTGCCTCGCAGTCGAGCGATTTACGAATGTGGAGCGAATCGGTTCGTCTGAATGATCACATTGAATCGGCTCAATAGAACGATTCGTTGGCCAGTCGGGCATCGCTAATGATAATTATTCACTGGATGCTGTTACACTTTAGTGATGGTTATTAGTCAATGGTCGTAATGTACAAAGATATAGAAAAACATTCACACAATCAATACATGTAACTTTTGAGAAATATTTAGTTTTTTTTTTATCGTTGGCGTTTTCCTCGAAACAAAACTAATTGCATACATTTCCCATCTGAGCTTAGTGATTTTCACATTTTGAGTGCATAATTGTTAAACAAACTCGGGTTTTTCATTGCACGCACGTTTTAAAAGTGATTCGTTTGTTCATTCTTTGTAATTCGCTCTCTAAAGCGTAGCGAGACCTTAATAGCTTGCGCTAGTTAACGTTAATATTTTGTGTTTTTTGTTATAAACTTTTTTTTTTTTATTATTATTATTATTTACGTGCAGAACGTAGACAAAAAATGAACCATATTTGTTTCTTGGTTTTGCTCGGTTACGTTGTATTTAGGTAACTGTGTCACGTCGAGTGTGGTCGCATGAAGGCCCAAAAGCCTCGGACTCTCGCAGGCGCTGGTGGCGGGGGTGTAGTGCACGTCACGCGCCGTGATTGACGCCGCCAGTCCGAGGCTTTGAGGCCTGCGCGGTGCGATGAGCTCGGATGTCTCCTGTGCCGTCTCCTAGGAGACTGTAACCCGAGCACGGCATTGAAACACTCAATGGACGCTCATTTATAAACAATTAGACATTCACAGTATATTTTCCATTCTTCATAAACGAAAGTACAGTGTACGTGATTTGTAGGCTTCATTTGGTGCCTGTAATGTGCCCTGTGACACTTGCACATGTGTGTTTGTTCTACTGTGTTGTTGTTTAAATAGGTCAGATGAGATCAGGAATAATGGGTAACTGTATATGCAGGCAGAATCCACTCCTGGGACCGGTGTCTTAGTTCATAAATCACAGCTGCCACGCCTCACCTTCACACTGCATCTGCCAAACCAACGCATCCACACTGAATACCAGATCAACTTCTGCACCTTTACAGTAAAGCCGCAGTGCCGTGTTGATCTAATCAGATGCAATCTTGTAGGATGCGGGCGCTTAGTTTGGGATCATGGACGTCTTGATCTTGAGCTATTCTATTATGAAGGTCTGTCTCATGTGGTTGTTCAAAGATTTGATTTACTTCTGCAGAAGGATAAATATTGTGCATAATGTTGTTGCAGTGCCTGCTTTCTTTTCTACAACTGGAGCATGCTCTATAGTGTCCGTCCTGTTAGTTGTTGGTCATACACTGATTCATATTTTAGTTTCAGGTTGTTTTGCTCATCACACCTGTGTCTGAAGCGTTTACGAGCGGCTCCCACATAAACGCAAGAGTTGGCAGCTGGCTCCCAGGTGTCTCGTTTAAAGGTGCAGACACATTAGTCAAATGTTGCTGGCAAAAAGGTTTATTGTCTGTTATCAGTAACAATGTATGAAGCACAGATCACACAGAAGTCCCTTTCTGTTGTTCAGTGGGGCAAACTCACATGAGCTTCTTGCCCGATCACGTGGATTCCTGTTGAAATGACTGGATTTCGCTTGCAAAAATTCGAAGAACAACCTTAAGTCTAAAACTGTCTAATACTGTAATGATTCTAATTCAGCTTTATGATTTAATGAACGATTCTTTCAGTCATTTGGGCGAAACACATGCAAATAAGTTGCACTGGGTCAAATTTGCATTGTGGGAAAACAAAAAACACCGGTAAGTCGGATTTTGCAAAACATCTACAAACGTTGTTTTAGTTCCCCTCACTCCACAAAACCCTTTCAATTCAACTTAATATAGAACAAAAATGAAAAATAGAATTAGAACTTAAAACATAAAATATATTGTCACTCCTTTTAAGCAATGTTTATTATAAACGTCAAGTCTATTTATGTGGAATTTGCTCTGTATGGAAAAACGTGAAGTGACAACATTGGCTTGTTGCACTGATCGATATTTGCCATCATTAACCAAGATCGAAATGCATAAAGATAATTAGCTAATGATTTCTGTTAGCAATGCAAGAACTGATAGGTTGTGTGTGCGCTTATAGCTTTGGAAAATAAGTCGTAGCTTGTTTTAATTAGATGATTAAAAAAAGTTACTTGTGTTCTTATTCTGTCAAATCTGGTAGTCTAGACAAAATGATGCTGCTATTCCAAAAACCTGTATTTCAGTCTCCAACACTACTTGATTCACAGATGGGTTTGAGCTCTGAAGACGGTTCCTCCTCAGACTGATGGGTGACACATGTTCTGAATCCGTTCTGGACAAATGGTGTCTTATCAGCTCTGTAAACAACTCCTGACGGCCCACACACACACACACACACACACTGTCTGTTTGCGTCTCACATGAGTCCTGTTAGCAGACAGAAATGTGAGCGTTAAGAGCAAAAATAGACGGCAGAGTGCTGGCTCTTATTTAGATAATCAGATTGAGCCGTTATTTAAGAAACGGGCAAAACAACTCGGCTCGTTTGTTGAAGAAAGCAATGCAAAAATAGACGACTGTTGTTCTTCATACTGGTTTGAGTTTTATATGTTCATATGTGGTGGATGTGTAAAGGTCAGGCGGCGATAGAAACACCCGTCACACATTCATCCCCATGGAAACAGCCAAGCTCAG